GTAATAAAATAGCTTAATATAGCCAAGTTAACTTGTTTCTATAAATTCTTTCACTGTAGGCAAAAATAACATAATCCCTAAAGTACTGAACTAGTAAATAATAATATCAATTAAGCATTTAAGACCCTCTTAATCACTTTACATTATAAGCAAATAGTAAATGTGTAATAGTGTTGACTATTCTGGGTTCATGTTTCTTAGGTGTTTATTTTAATTGAACTTCAGCACTAATACATGTAAGTGTTACTCTGTTTCCCAGGTTATACTCTCACTGGGAATCTGAAGATCAGGTTGTTTAATTCAGGATCTGTATCGGTAGATTAAATTCCCACCCAACCCTTTCCCAATTCCCAAATTAATCTTGAGTTAGGTAAAAAATAACAAGCAAGCTCAGCACTGGTCCTGTTTACCAAATCATCTTCCAGCCAAACTGGTTGAATTAGTTATATCTTTTCTCTTAGTCTAGTTGAGGATGTCGTGTATCCTTAGACTTCCAAACAAAACATTCCCACTCTTTCTGTGGTCTCCATTATAGCTGGAGTACCATTTCCAGGCCTCATTTACAGCATTCTCTTCTGGAACTTTCATTTGGCTGCCACACAGAAAGTCCTACGTTTCCTGCCAGCTGTCCTCTGGGTTCTCAAGTACCCCAGGTTCACCTACTAGAGAAAAGAATTTCAAAATGCCAGTGGCCCAAGCAGCTCTACCTGCCTCTCTGCCCTGATTCCCAGAGTAAGGTTTCAGCCATTAAGAACTGTTCTCTCTGAAACAGAGCCTTCAACACAATGGTCTATCTGGTTGATCACCACTGGCCATGAAGCTTAGCCCCAGTACCTGTCCCATCTTAAGGGATGGTTTCAAGTCTAGCTCCTTCCTTTTAGTCAAGAATTGAGGAATCATGAAGTGTTCTCTGACTCCATATGTTTGTATTAAGCTTCTTCATAATGATTTATTTGAGTTTTGATGTATTTGGTTTTGGCTGAACTCACATCTCCCTCTCCTACTCCCTCTCCCTATGCCCTTGCAAGGAACAAGAACTACAAAATGGAGCCTTTTGGAAGACTGTTGCACTCAGGAGCTTTTTTGAAGTGCTCTGAAATTTCTGGCAGAAATAAAACTCTTTTTAAAAATAGTTACAGCTTATGTTCCTCATAAATCCCCTTCTTCTGTGCCCTGAGAAATAGTTAATCAACTCTTACTTAGCTTGGAGTTCACCCAGATGCTCCTTAAGGGTTCTCTGTAGCCCCACTCTCAGAGGTGAAGCCACCACTGGATCCTAGCAGGGTGCCTCAACTCAATAATCGGATACGAGATAAGGCAACAAAGCTTCATAAACATTGTGTTTTCTTCCAACAGGGCACAAGGAAGATATTAAACCGAGTTCCCCCAAACAATTCCAAAAATCTCCTACTTTTCCCAAAGTAAAGATAATGATAATCAGGATCTGTGGACTCTATAATGTGTCTTTATTTTGGTTTAAACTAATGACATTAGATTCTCTTCAACCTGGCAAAGAAGAGGTAGGTATACATTAAACAAAAGAAAAAGAAAAAAAATGGACCTAAAATCATGTGGGAACTAGATCATCGTCACCATTATTCGAAAAAGAAAGGTTGTGGAATATTTCTGCAATTTCTTGGCCAGCTGGTCTTTTTCACCAGACGCATATATCTTTTTCAAATATCAAAAGGTAGTAAAGCTATGCATGTAAAAGTCATAATAGTGATAGTAATTATAAGTATTATAAGGGTAAGAATAATTTATATGATTCTTACTGACTGCCAAGCACTTACTAAGCACTTCATGCACATTAACTCTTCAAAATCTCTGAATGCTATGCTGTACATATAAGAAGGGAGAACTTTCTTAGTTTAGAAAACTGAATTGCAGAAAGGTTAAGAAACTTGATTAAAGCAAATTAGCAATGGGCAGAACAGAAATTTAAACCTAACTCATCTTTCATACCTATGAAGATGCAAATAACTCAACCAAGTACATTTGTGTATAATATATTTGCCCTCTTGATGAATACTGAACCAGAGTTAGAGCACCTTCTACTTGTTTCATGAAAAAGCATTGACATTATATGTGACTTGTGTGTTCTACTTTGAAACCACACTTTTTTTACTCTAAACATTATTTGAATAAGAACTTGCTGATAATTTGAGCAGTTATTTCAAAATATTTATGTACTATTACTACCTAGATGAATTACTCCAGCTTAGCATCCAATTTTTAAAATTTTCAAACTCATGTGTGCATGACTAATTTTACCTTTTAGAATTATGACAACATTCATTCATATGCTCTTCTCTTTTGATTTTTGTACTTTAGTAGTTTTGGAAACATGATAAGATAGCTCGTAGTATAACTAATAGCTTCATACACATAGCATATCTATACTCTTTCCACTTTTCCTCTAAACATCACCTTATCACAGTTTGTTCTTTATCCCCTGTCCACTTGCCATTATTTCCATCCAATGAAACTTACTTTTCTTCTCTCTCACCTTTGAATTTCCTTCCCTCCCTACCAGTATGTGAGTTACTTGAAAGCTCTTTGATCAGAATAAAAATTCCAATTATTTGATCCTTCCATTTATTTGGATTATAAAGACATACAGGGGTATATTTTGCAAAACAGTCTTGTCATCCTTGACAGAAGATATGTCACTCTATTATAGCTTTGCCACGTGTCCATAGAGAAAGGTCATCTTATTTTAAACACATGTTCGTATGCAACATGTGTAACAGAGATGTGAATTCTAAGGACACTGCAGAAAGCATAGCTGACTAGGATTCTAGCACCTTCAGGATGTGTCTCCTCTTAGTTGTGACCACTGTAATGCACTTCATAAAGTAATAAATTGTTCTTGCCCTAGAATCAGGATTCCCATCTCTTCACTACAACATGTCTAGATGTAAGACATGTTTGCCCTTGTAAAATCAGTGATCCCAGTCTAGATGTCAAATACTTGCTTGTTCTGTGTATTAACTGACTTCTTTTCCTGGACCCGCAGGCTCTATCAGATCCTTCCCCTAAAATTCATACATCCTGCCTTGTTGCTATCTATGCCCCAGCATGTCAATGTCAAAGTAGTTAAGAAAAAGGCTCCAACTATTTTAGTATCTTAAATTTTATCTTTTCATTCTACAAATAATTTTTTAATAAAAAGTTAAAATTTAAAACAAATTGATACTATTCAGTAAAATGTTGTTATAGATTCCAAGCAACTATCTCTTTTATAGGCAACATAATTACAAGTGAATTACAAATGCAGACTTTATGACTCTAATTAAACTCTAGGCCACAACCCATTAAAAACAGAGTATACGCATTAAGTTAGGTGTAAGAAAAAATAAATATGTCACATAATGAGGCATAAGTTAATATGCCTCAAAATAAATGAGGAGAAACAATTTCAGATAATACATATATTTATATAAATTTTTTATCAACATAACCTAAAATACTTTCTTTAATTTCATCAGACATAAAATTTTTATACTTAATTTTCATATACATATACATCATACTTTCTCTCACTTACTTCATTACTTCGTTCTACCCCAAGAACATCTTTGCAAGTATTTCCCAAGTGTGAGAGACTGGAGGAGGCTCTACATTTTGGTTGTAAGAATATATATTAATTTTTAGTACATTATAATTAAACTCAGAAATATTTAATTGTAGGGATTTTATTTTGTAAGAATCAAATAAAATGATTAAAAATTAACTTGAGGCAAAACGAAATTTCAACATCATTGTAAAACTAACTAAGAGAGCAGATCTTCAAAAAAATGTAGTACAGGATGGTTACACCTCGGTTTCCACACTTGGGAGACTCATTAACCACTTAATGTTTGCCCTGAAGTTTGTAAATGCTTAAAGATTGGGTTACATTATGAAAAGGACCTGTTGAATATTGTGTCTGTAAGGTTCAAGTCTACCTAGTCCTCACTGCCACCTTTCATATCTTCTCTAGTGAAGAATGAAGAAATGAGAATTATGTGTTTGAATCTGGCACCTCTGATGTGGAAAAACACATGGTGAAGCAGAGGAAAGAAAACTGAAGGAAAATGAAAACATCCTCAGGAATACGTTGGGGGAAACAAACAGTATTTCAAATGAAAGATTAAGAACAACAAATGGATTTGAAGGTATTATGTAAAAGAAAATGAGATGATTTAGCACAGGTACTCTAAGAATTTGAGAAGTTCCTCATGTTTATGGGAGAAGGTAACATTGCTGATAGGAACATTTAAAGGTGGTACAGAAAGGAAATTCTCATCAGGAGGCCTATAGAACACACATGGGCAACAGCAAGCCCCCCCTGGATCCATACAGAGGAAAGGAGAGGTAAAGATGAAAGAAAGAGGTTGAATAGAAGATATTAAATCGTTGAAAAATAATTTTAAAATAGTTACGCTTCTGAGAAGATTTTCCATGTCTGGGTATGAGACATGGAGATACATCACACTGATCAACCTGAAGTAATCTACGTACTGAAATACCCACTTCTAGTTTATCTAGTTCATGCAAGGTTTCACAAAGCCGCCAATGGTCTTATAAAAGCTTTCTAATTGAAATGGTCTTAAGTATCACATTTTACTAGTGGCAGGTATCTTTTCAAAAAAAAAAAAAAAAAAAGCTAAGCAACTTGTCCTCTGTTGTTTCCTACCACTACGTTTGCATTAGAAGAGGCTGGTAGTCAAATACACAAGAAGAACCACAAGTGTTGGCAATTTAACAGAAACAAATGGTAGTGTGTCATGGACCCCTAAGGCTTGTTGGACTAAATCATACCCTCTTCTAATAAGTCCTGAAAAGCATTTAAAACATATGTTGAAGAAAATAGTTTTTAGAGGGGCAGATAACAGACGTTGGACTTAGAAATTATAAAAATCCATTGTGCATTTTTTTGGCTTCTAGTTCTACTCAGTGTTTTGCTGTGAGCTATGATTTGTTTGTGGAAGTAAAGTAAAGGCAGCCTATCTTACCGCCTCCACTTCGGCTGGGTCATACCAGACGTTGATGTAGGGATGCTGTAAGGCGTCGTCCACTGATATTCTTTTTGCTGGGTCAATCACTAGCATCTTTGACAACAAGTCCCTGGCTTGGCTGGCTGAAACAATAAATGAGAGAAACAACTAGTAAGATTTTGATTTCAGTAAGGAAATTTGTTGGACAGAGAGGAAATTAAGAAAATAATGTATGGGATAGTATCTTCCTTCCAAACATCAGGTAAATCCCTTGATGTGATGGAAAAGAAAATGCATTTTACACCTGTTTCTTTGGGTCTCTAAGCCTAAGGCTTCATTCTGAGGATCTCCAAGGGTTATAACACTTTGAGTATATAATTATTCACTCAAACTTCTAAGTAAAATGTATCAACCTGGAGAGTTTATGTAAGCAAAATCATCTTCTTTGGTAACCTGTATGAATATGGGATAAACAGCATAAAGAGCACAGAGTGCAAATGCATGATATTCAACAAATGTCTGGACAGCTGTTTGAAGTTAATCAACACATGTGTCTTTATATTCTCATTCATACAATGGAATTATCAGGATTTTAGTATACAAATTGACTTAAGAGTTTGTATCATACAAATTTCTTTTTGTTTGTTCATTTGTTTGTTTGTTTGTTTATGTATTTTTGAGACAGGGTATCCCTCTGTTGCCAGGCTGGAGTGCAGTGGAATGATCACAGCTCACTGCAGCCTATAACTCCTGGGCTCAAAGGATCCTCCCATCTCAGCTTCCTGAGTAACTGGAACTACAGGCATGCACCACCATGCCCGGCTATTTTTTCTTATTTTTGGTAAGGATAAGGTCTCCCTACATTGCCCAAGCTGATCTCGAACTCTAGGCTCAAAGGATCCTCCCACCTCAGCCTCCCAAAATGCTGGGATTAAAGGAATGAGCCACTGCTCCCAGCCACAAATTTCTTATATACATAAAAACAACCAAAGAATTGATGTGATAGAAATAATACCATTCAATTACTGAATTTTATTTTAACATTCTGTAATCATCAGGTATTTTTAATCAATGGAATCATGACTTGATGAAATCCAGTAGCTAAAGACTGAAGCCAGTCTAATGCTACACCAGACACTAATGAAAAACTCTATATTATGTAAATGGTATCATAATTAATTTTATGGTTGTAGGCAGTAACAGTTATAAAATTATATGGTGATAGCATATTTATTTAATAACATTGTTAAAAGACATTAACTTTAACCTCTAAAAACATGTACATTTTTTATTATTATACTTTAAGTTCTGGGATGCATGTGCACAACATGCACATAGTTATACATAGGTATACACATGTTACATAGGTATACACGTGCCACGCTGGTTTGCTGCACCCATCAACCTGTCATCTACATTAGGTATTTCTCCTAATACTCTCCCTCCCCCAGACTTTTACATAAAGTTTTAACAGAAATGAATATCTCAAATCAATATTGTTACTCAACTGATTTGAAAGTTGAATGGTGAAAATATTCAGTTTATTCTAAATATATGGTAAAACATCAAATTAAAGAGAACAAAATTTAAATGGATTTTTCAAAAAGCAACATAGATGACTGTGGATATGTATCAATTTTTATTTAATCAATTTTTCAGATTAAGACAATTTGACTAATTCTACAAATTTGAAAATTACATAAAATATAAAAATCAGGAAATAATATCTAACCCCACTAGTTAGAGGCAATGACTGTGATTATTGGCATATTTTTTCTAGTGCTGTTCATGTATTTTTCACATATTAACCATACTACAGTTAAAATGTAGTAATTAATTTTTTACCTGTAGGTATCTTCTTTTAGTAATTACATGAATAAATATATCTTTTAATTTTCTGAACAAATATGAAAAATCACTAGTTAAATCAACCTTGAGAACTTTTTATTTCTATTATCCATTTTTCTGGGAAATTCAATCCTAGAAACTTATTATCATCACTTTCAAATTAAAACTATGAACTGCACAAGAACAACAAAAATACAGAAATACTTACACATTAATTCAATATTTAATTTTTCTCATTGCCAACGGCCTCCTAATAGTCTAATAGGGCTGTGTTTATTCATTGCTTTAAAGATCTCTTTAATTTGTAACTGATATTACATCCAAATTCATGTACCATTCTCATAGATTCTCTCATCAAATCTATCCATTTCTCTGCTCTTAGAAAGGGCTGGGGTTAGTCGGGTGCGGTGGTGGCTCACATCTGCAATCCCAGCACTTTGGGAGGCCGAGGCGGGCAGATCACGAGGTCAGGAGATTGAGACCATCCTGGCTACCACGGTGAAACCCCATCTCTACTAAAAATACAAAAATTAGCTGGGCTTGGTGGGGGGCGCCTGTAGTCCCAGCTACTTGGGAGGCTGAGGCAGGAGAATGGCGTGAACCCGGGGGGCGGAGCTTGCAGTGAGCCGAGATAGCGCAGCCGGGGCGACAGAGCGAGACTCTGTCTCGAAAAGAAAAAAAGAAAAGAAAGGGCTGGGGTTAGAATGGGCTCTTCATGAATAGGGTCATGAACTACACCAACACCAAATCATCTTGCTAAGAAACAATAATCAATACTATTTTTAGGAAACAATACGGGAAAATGTTTCAATGTTTTATCTTTCATTCTATCATTTGAAAGCAAATGTGTTATGCTCTTTTCCAAACACAGTAGAATACATTATTCTCTTTGGTTATTTGTATATTAACATTACTTATAGTTTTCCAATTTTATATTTAAAATTAAAATCAATTATCAAATATGCAAACTAGTTTATCGTTTACAAAAATAATTGCAGAGATTCAAATTGATTTAAAAAGTATACTCAAGAAACTTGGAATTACATTATGAAGTATAATATCTTAATAGCCTTTTTATTGTGATTTCATACAGTAGTTTAATGAGAACTTTGTTGTCTCTGTATTGCTGCAAGTGTCTTCAAAAGAAGGGATTACTTTTGCTTGATATCTCAATAGTATTACAAAGACATGATTTCTATAAGATCTTTAATTGGAGTATTAGCTTTTTTTCAATCTGGATATAGGCAATGTTGATCTTATCAGCAGTAGATTTAGAAATAATTTAGTCCATTGTCAGTAAGAGAGTCTATAGAGGCAGTTGAAGGAAGAAATGCAACTGTGCAATATGTGTCAAGAGCACAGAAACAGTGCTGCACATTTAAAACCCATCAGATAAAAGTTTAGAGGATATGAAAACATCCTGGAAAACAGTGGCACCACATTTTAGCTTCCTCATCTCATTTAAGTCTTCCTTAGCTATACACATTAAGTTTGTAAGTTAAGTCTGCAGATAATTAATTGTCCACATAACATTTAGGACTAAATTTACAAAGCATGTATCCTAAGTTTTCTTTTTTGATAATTTATAGGTACATTTTAAAATTATTATTTTATTATATTTAGCAGTCACTGAGTATCCACAGTGAGGCAGGCACTGCTCTAAGTGTTTGACAAATTATTAAGTCCATTAATCCTCCCAACAGCCCTATAAGGTGGGTTTTCTCTACGTTCATTTGTTAAAACAAGGAAAGAAAAATTAGGTAACTTGCTCAGGGTCACACAGATTTTAAGGCATGGGGCAAATTTGAAATGAGGCAGGGAGAAAACAGTCAGATTTATTTCAAAATAAGATTTTCAGGAGTGTTTTAAATTATAAGAATTTAAGTATTATTATTTATATTACACTTTATGCACTGCCAAATTTATTCCATGTCTCCAAATTAGACTGAGGCATTATTAAGTCAATTCTGTTGGTGAAGATATTTGTTACTCAAGTACATTAACTGCCAACAACATGATAGAAAAAAATGACTTATTAATGGAAGTGTTTATATTGAATAAAAATATGTATGTAAAATCTCATTTGCTATTTTAAAATGAAAAAATTTAATTTAAGCACTCCATAAATTATAGAAAAAGAAGTTCAGACACCTGCATCTCCAAGATTTTACAACTAAACCTTGCACTGAAAATATTTTCCAGGCAATGAAAAGGTTTGGAACAATGATTTCAATGTATATTATGTTGGTTTTTTAGAGTTATATCTCAAAAAATAATTTTAGGATTCTATGTAACCCCCTGTTAAATACCTAGGGCACACCCTTGTCACACATTTTATTCTTATTCTTCTCTCTGAATATCCAGACAGTTCTTTTTTTTTTTTTTTTTTTTTTTTTTTTTTTTTTTTTTTTTTTGAGATGGAGTCTCCTCACTCTATCGCCAGGCTGGAGTGCAGTTGTGCGATCTCAGCTCACTGCAACCTCTGCCTCCCAGGTTCAAGCGACTCTCCTGCGTCAGCCTCCCGAGTAGCTGGGACTACAGGTGCACGCTACCACCTCCAGCTAATTTTTCTGTATTTTTAGGAGAGACAGGGTTTCACCATGTTGGCCAGGATGGTCTGTCTCGATCTCCTGACCTCTTGATCCGCCTGCCTTGGCCTTCCAAAGTGCTGGGATTACAGGCTTGAGCCACCGCGCCCGGCCCTGAATATCCAGACAATTCTAAACTCCGTGGCTACTCCCCTTTGTAGGAACGATCTTCGAAGAAATATCTTTCTTTAACTTGAGGTTGTGCCAATTAAAGAATTGATCGATGTTTTAGGTGATGGGTTATGCTAAATGCTCTGATTTGACCGTTATACCTCTATACACGTTTCAAAATAACCCCTATATCCCACAAAAATGTACTATTATCATGTGTCAACTAAAAATAAAGAACGAGAAAGAGAGAGAGGTCTCTATATCGTGTGCTTGTTTGACCCGTCACCCTCATAGTCGTCCTCAAGTCATTCCTGAAGGGCATACCTTTGAGTTTATTGTGCTCGGAGTCCGCTGGGAAGAGGGAATCTGGGAAGAGCTTGGGGAAGGTGAGTCCCGCATACTTGGGCCGATTCTCCACATAGTTTCTTACTGTGGGTTGCAATTTCTTCATGAATTCTGGACATGGTGTTCCTAGTTGTTCAATTACCTTATTCCACTGGTCAATATCTGAGAATTGAACAGTTAAGGGAAAAAAGAAGTGCAGACCACCAGCCCTTCAACAATTGGGAGACTAATGCTTCTCAAAGTCCTGAACAGTCATTAATTAATGCAACTAGAGTTTTAATAAGCAACAAAGAATGAAAATATAAAAGCAGATATATCAGGCTATGAGTCTTCTTGAAATTTTAAATTCACTTTTGAAACTTACATACTTTTGGAAAACTAGCAATTATTTAACAAAATAAGATATCATGAAATAGTCTTTAGGGTATACAGATAAAAAGTCATTCAAATAACAAGATGAATCTCATATTCTGCAGATTAACTTCTATATAATCGTGTGTTTTAGAACAAAAATATATAATACACATCATAGTGACATTTTTATCCTGAAGTTACCTCAAAATTTATATTTTTAAAATGATAAGTACACAAATATTTTAGATTACATTCATTTACATTTTCTTAAATTACCTTTAAGATATTTTTTCTTCTCTAAAAATCTGGAATTTTTTTCTATGCATTATGCATGTCAATATAACTTTTATAGTAAAACAACTCATTAGTTCTTTGTCAAATTCCTAAAAACCATATTTATTAAACAAAGAAGCCATCAATTTCATACCTATTGTTTTACTGCTGACATCACGGAATATTGTTTTCAATGAAATAAGAGGGTGAACAGAGGAATGTTCAATTTAAAACAACAGATTTCTATCCAAGTACATTCAAGTTTAGAAAGTACATTAAGCATGGGGAATACCACAGAAAAAATGTTACCTCTCTATGAAAATTAATACCCTTTTAAATTGGAACTAGCTCTTTTGGCAGACATACTCAATGACTGAGATTATCTTTTTCATCTGTCATTAATATTCAATATATCAGAGCCTCGATAATGATAAACGCCATCTACTCTGAAGAACCAACTGGAAATCACTGATTCAAACAGATTTCCTCACATGTGTCAGTGAGTAATAGAGACCTTGGAAATTCCCCCTAAATCCAGTACTGCAAGCAGTATTCTCTCCTACATTGCTTATTCTTCTACAACTCTGTTCTTCGGTGTCAAGTTAGTTAATTCATTTCCACTAAGGTAAGGTGTGACAGTTAAGGGACTCTTACCATAATACTTAGTTGAAGTTTGTCAAGTCTTTACTCCTAGCTATTCAAGAGGTTTGGACTGAAGATTGTCAGTCCTGATTAAAGATAAACTTAACTGTATTTAACAAAAATAAATATGTAATACAAACACAGTAGATAGGAGATTGAACAAAGATAAATCAAACTAATGTGCAAATTCTCTTCTTCCTCCCTATAATCTGGCTGAATAAAACTTAAATTACTACATATTCTCTGAGCTATTGGAATAAAAAATATATAACTATGGACTATCAAGATATGAAACGAATGTGGGGAAAACAATAATACTCCTTTATAAAGCAGTAGCAATCATTAAACAAGAACATGCTTGGATAGAAGCTCATCTAATTATCATGTACATGAGAAAATACAGTGGCAATTCAGAATCCCTAGAAATAACGAAACTAAAACATTATATAAGGTTAGAGTTACAAATTACTCTTAGATAAGAGCCTGTGTTAATATTATGGATATAGGTAAGCTGTAAGTACTTAGACATATTTAAATAGAATACATTAGTGTAGCTAAATAAAACCTAAGTGCTTGTCATTATAAATTATGAAAAGACATTTTTTAAACAGTTAGGTTAGCATGCCCTACCAAGTTATCATTTCATCATTGGTCAAACTTCCTCAAAATTCTAACCACTTGATGTCAAGCTTAAAATAGAGGCAAAGAAGATGTCAGATTTTCTGTAAATAAGTCATTTAACAAAGTTGGCAAAATAATCCCAACACAGTATTATATCCTAATTACATTTGCTAGAATTATAAAGATATACTGTAAAGAATTTCTTTTAAAGAAGTATTCCCAAACAAAAAAAAATTGATATTTTATATTAAAGTTTAAGGAGAATCAGATATTCTGGAACTTGTTAAATAACAATTGTTAAAATGTTGCTTTTAATAAATCATAATTAGAGTCTAGAGACATACTCAGTGCTCTTTCCTACCTTAGGTTGCTTTTAAATGAAACACTGTTGTGATTCTTGATGCAATGGTTTACAAAAAGAATGGTGGCAAGAATCTTTATCATTGTCAATGAAATAGTTAAATGTTCATACTGCAAATCTGAGTTACAGTGATCTTTAAAAGTCTGTGTCTTTATTTTAACCAATCCATTTCAAGATTTTTCTTCCCATAAACATATGTGTGTGTGTATCTACATATGGTAAGTACTTGTTTTCAGTTGTTCATAGAATATGAACATGAACAACTATGTCCAATTTAGTTGAGCACATAATTTTTCTTCATAATAATAATTAACCTAAGCCAAGACTGGAAGTCGTACCTCCTGTTTCCAAGTTTAGTGCTTGTTTCAAGTATTCCATTAAGAAAAAAGAGTAAATTTGGAATTTATATGGTAAAAAGTTGCTTTCATTTGGCCATAAAATTAATGGGGTGTTTCGTCACAAGCAATTCCCTTAAAGAATGTTTCTGAAGCCCCTTCCTTAGTCTATCAGGCCAACATATTCCTGTAAAACAACAAATTTTATTAATATTTTATATAGAAAATAAGGTGATCTTTTAAATGGGAAAACAGATTTCCACAATGATTACATTTTAAAAATACATAAAATATTAACTAGATTTTATGATTATATATTGTTAACATGGTAAATATGTTTTTAAAGAATGACCAAAACCATTTTTGTAGAATAATTTATTTGCTTTAGAATACCCATAAATTACCATTTTTATACCACATAGAGTGATACAGATCTTAGCCCTGTGAAGTTATCAGAAAAGCAATAAGTATATTTGTTTTTATATTTTTGATGTACTTTCAGAAATTATCACCCTTAACATAAATTATGAAATGTATTGAATACAAATGGAAAAATGGCATTTAATAAGAATTATTTGACAGTAAATCACCTGATAAAAGTCTAAATTGACTACATAAAAGTAGAGTTATATTGCAAGAAGTTCAATTTTATAAGTGGGGCATGATGTCAAGATAATGTACAAATGTGATTATTACTAAGGTCTTCAATAAATACTATTATAATAGGAGAACAAAACAAAGTAAATATGAATAGTAAAAATAAGTACCTGAAATCCTAAGATTGAAAATTTTTCCAATTAATATTATCAATTAGCTATTAACTTACAATTCAAGCACTTCTCTTACTTTAGCTTCCTTTGTTAGGGAACTTTCTAAAACAATAATTCCTTGAACATAATGTATGAAAAGGTCAATTTTGGGGCCTCTCATTGGCACAGGCCCCTTTTAAGACTAATCCTTTTCTGCGTATTGTGGGTCATAATTATGAACATAATTTGTGCCATCTATATTTAAGCCTTCAGAACTTACTAAGTGGAATCATAAGGAACTATTTAATGGCCTCATCCAACTGTCTCCTTTGAATGACTGTATCTTCTGTTTATGTTTTCTTCTATCATTGATTGCTTTTTGTTACTATGAATGTGATTTCCAGAGCTGACAACTCATAGTTTCTGACTTGCTTTCTACTCTGCTCTAGGCCTTATATAAATACTTTATGCAGAAATTTTCTGACTTCTCTTTGCAATTTAAAGAACATCAGTGTTTATCTCTAAATTCTTAGCTATGTTCCTAAAGACAATATTGCCTAATAGCAATGTCGGTATAGAATAGTTCCAGGAGAGGCTTTTATCATGCAGGCCAAACAGCTGTTTAGGCACAATGTTGAGTAGGCTTGTGTGGCTTTATATTAGCTCCATAGGAAAGACTTCTGTGATCAATTAGTAATGTCTGCAACGGATGCACAATAAGGAAACTGAAGCACATGTGCCATGTGTTAGGTATCATTACATTAAACTGTGTTTCCCAAACTCAAATACTCGTAACGTAGGGAACTTATAAAAACACATATCCCTTCTTCCTGCTCATCTACAAGATTCTGAGTCCACAGGTCTGGGCTGATATCATAAAAACATCAGTGGTAATTGTAATCACGGATGGGATTATATTTTGAGAAATGCTCATGTAGAATATACGAAAAATTCTCTTGTGAGTTACTCAGTCTAGATGCTCTAAGAGTAAAATACTAACATGTTTCAGTTTTATGACACAAATTAGAATAGGATCAAATTCACCAAGAGATTATTCCACACTTGTTTGTTGCTGAAAACTTGGGGGTCATTCACCTGAGAATACTCGGAGAAAGAAAAGTGCTAATCTTTACTTCTTTGACCCATGTACTTTTCCTGCAAAGGACATGGGAAATTATAGTAAGTGGCACACGTAGGCTCCCAGGAGAGGGAGAAGAACTCTGCCCCTCATCATCTGTGGGAGAACTGAAATTGTATACTGCTATTACCTGGGGAGTACTACCCATGGGAAGTTCTAATTATAGTTCTTTGTGATTAAATTTGTTAAAAGAATTTTTTTCTAAAAACAATTACAAAGAAATACATATATATATACACACACACACACACATATATACACGCACATACAAACATATGATAGAGTTCTGAATCTAGATTTTCATGGTTATGTTTCAAATTGTTTTGTTTCTTTAAAAATGTTTTTAGGGGCAGGCACAGAGGCTTATGCCTGTAATCCCAGCACTTTGGGAGGCCAAGGCAGGAGGATCACCTGAGGCTGGGAGTTTAAGACCAGCCTGACCAACATAGAGAAACCCCTTCTCTACTAAAAATACAAAATTAGCTGGGCATGGTGGCGCATGCCTGTAATCCCAGCTACGCAGAAGTCTGAGGCAGGAGAATCACTTGAACCCATGAGGCACAGGTTGCGGTGAGCAGAGATAGCGCCATTGCACTCCAGCCTGGACAACAAGAGAGAAACTCCCCCCCCAACAAAAAAAGAAAAAGAAAAATGTTTTTAGGGTATTTTATACTTTAAAATGTTATTTT